CCAGGGAGCCCTTTCCTGGCCCCCGAGAGGCATGCCAAATCGGAAGGCCTCTGTTTCAGCTTATCAGAGGCTGCCTGGAGCCCATCGGGGTGTCTGAGGCACCAAAGCACTGGCCATCCTGGTGACCATGACGCATGGGCCAGCTGCCCAAGAAGGATATGTGGGTCCACACCCTGCCCTGGTCCCTGATCTCCCTCCCAGGGCCCCCGGACCGCACTAACATGCGTTTCCACCTTCCTGTAACTCAGACCCGCATTGTGCTAAGACCACGCCTCCTTCCGGAAACACCTGCGGGCATCTCCCCTCAGTCAGCGCCGGGCAATGCAGCCCTTTGCTCAGAAACCCTTTGCTTCTCTGGACCTGCGCCTGGAGCATACCAGTGCACGTGCTCCAAGTTAATTCCCTCCTGTGCTCTTAATGGAGATGACCACAGTCAAGGAAGACCATGCTAATCTCTAGGGAGCGGACAGCCCAGAGGGCCGGGCCCTGATGCATCCAGTCTGTTCCGGAAGATGGCTGCTTTCACGTCGCCAGCCCCTCCGGCTCTCAACCAGCCTCTCCGACCCTCAGTCCTCGGGGCAGCACCCCTGCGTTGTAGCAACACATGACTTCATCCGAAGAGAATTACTCCGGCTGCTGACGCAGCTGCCCAGTCATGTTTCGATGACCCAATTTTCCCAATTCCATGTCTGAACCCTCTGTTGACCCCGCCCCATCCTCTCTGGCAGAAATTCACCAGAGCCACTATGAATGAGACATGAACTAGACCCGGGCTTCCGGGGATGGTCCTCTGGGCCTCTTCACTCCCGACCTTAGATCAGGGACACAGCCGAGGCCAGCAAACCCTCACCCCTGGGACCACCAGCCAAGGAACATCTGGCTTTTAAGCCCTAGCATCGAAAGATTCTGGGTTTAAAAATAAAAGTCAAGGCCCCAACATCCTCAGCTTCCCAGACAAGTCATCTTTCTGTGTAGCATCAAAAACAAATGTGCACTTTCTTCAGAGGGGCAGGGGTGATCCACAGAAAATTCCCAGCTTAGAGTTTCTCCCCCAGAAATTTAAAAAGAGAGCCATTTCTTTGAAATGACATATGGGATGTGTGTGTGTGTGTGTGTGTGTATGTGTGTGTATGTGTCTCTGTGTGTGTGTGTTCCCCCAACCCCCCCGCCGGAAGAACATGATTTAGTTTGGATTTTTTTTTTTTTTTTTAACTTAAAAAAAGAGCCCACAATGAAAACAATGTGTGGAAGGATCTCATTCAATATGTCACTCGAAGGCAGCTCTTGTTCCTGACGTATATCTTCGCGTTCCTTCGGTGCTGCTGACGGCCTCTGGACGGAATAACTTCTTGCAAGAGCCCAAAGGAGAATTTCTCCTCCCGTAGCCGGGTGGAAGGGCTCTGGGCGAAGCATTCAATTCTGAATGGGAGGCACTTGGGGACAGGCCATGCTGGTCTGAAAGGGTCCTGAGACCTCAGATGGGCCAGATCAACCTTCAAACCTTGGATGGCCTGAGTGCCCAGTTCACCCCAGAGACAGCTGGTTGGGGCTCAGGGGACCACCAGAGGCTGGTGGACTGAGCGCATCTGGAAGGGTCACTGGTCCTTAGTCATGGGTTGTATGGATAGGGCCACAGCAATGCAGCAGTGTCTGGACCCCAAACTCCTATGCCCTGCTCAGGGATCCCTCCTACGACCTCAGTGTGTTTCTGGCTGGGACAGGCATGGCTCTTTCTCCAGGGAACAGGTGACCATTCACAAACAGCAGGACTGTCCTGGCAAGAATCCGCATTGTACAGATGTGTAAGATAAGGCCCAGAGAGGAGACATGATTTCCTCAATGTCCCACAGCCTGCTGCCCAGAGTTAAGGGAAAGCCACTTCCCCTGGTAATCTCCACAGCCTGCACCCCAGCCATCCAGCAGAAAGTGGGGGTGCAGCCTCTGCAGCAGAATCCCCAGGCTCCTCCTTCCCCATTCTTTTCTCTCTCTCTCTCTCTCTCTCACACACACACACACACACACACATGTACACACACACCGCACATGCACAGCCACTGGCTTCAGCCCTGGTATCCCTGGCATTTCATAGTTGCCTGGTAAACAACCATGAGCCCTCCATTCCTGCAGATTTTATAGCTCTTGAGACCTGGGGGAAGTTGCATTAACCCCAAGAAGAGCACTCTTAGCTGGTGAGGTCAAGGGCAAGGTCTGGGCTCCAAGGGCATTAGGGGACTGCCTTCTGCTTCTGCAGGAGGCAAGAGGAGGGAAGAAAAGCTCACCTGTGTGCTGGGGGACGGCCAGTGGGAGGACCAGGAATCCTGGGGTGAAAGCCACCTGGGGTGCCACAAAGAGCCAGGAGTGGATATCGGCAAAGCACTAAGAGCAGGGCCCAGTGCTGTATGCACATTTTTTGTTAAATAGAATACATACTCCAGGTGGGACCAGAAGGACCCCAGGGATCACCCTTGCACGCACAGACTGCCCCTGAGGATTCATTTTGGCTGGGCAGAGGGAAAAACCCATGACCAGCTGTCCTAGGCCTTGGACTCCCTTCCAGGTTCTGTTGTCTTTTCAACTTTGTGACTTTGGCCTGAAATCACCCATAGCCTCCATTTCCTCATCTGTGAAATGGGCACAGGAACACCTACCTTGGCTGCCTCAGAGTGGCTTTGGGGTATGCAGGAAAACATTCAGAAACACACAAATCACACTATTTTTTTTTTTTTATTAACAATACTATAATCTGGTCTGCCTTGCCACATTAAAAAAAAAAAAAAATCCCCAAAAGCCCTTTCCTAAACATCTGGGGAGATGGACATGGCTTCCCTGCTGATTCTCCTGGAGGTTCAGGGAAGGCCAGCTTGACCCAATCCATGTTCTCAGTACCCATGGAAGGTGCCAGTTTTGTGGAACTATGAAGATGAATCTGAGTATGTGAAAATTAAGGTTACAATTTCAGGGGGAAAGTTTTCTTTGAAGAATTCCTGGTGTTCGGGGTCCCTGGCTGGCTCGGTCAGTGGAGTGTGTGACTCTTGATATTGGGGTTGGGAGTTTGAGCCCCACATTGCATGTGGAGATTACTTAAAAATGAAAAGATCTTTTCTTTTCTTTTCTTTTCTTTTTTTTTTTTTAATAGAGGGAGTGTGCAGAAGTGGGGGTGGGGAGGGGCCGAGGGAGAGAGAGAACCTTAAGCAGACTCCACACATAGCATGGAGCCCAATGAGGGGCTCCATCTCACAATCCTGAGATCACAACCTGAGATGAAATGGAGGTCTGGAGGCTTAACCAACTGAGCCACCCAGGTGCCCACTAAATTTTTGAAAATCTCTTTTTTTTAAACATTTTATTTATTTGACAGAGAGAGAGATCAGAAGTAGGCAGAGAGAACAGGCAGAGAGAGGGGGGGAAGCAGGCTCCCTGCTGAGCAGGGAGCCTGATGTGGGGCTCGATCCCAGGACCCTGGGATCATTACCTGAGCCAAAGGCTGAGGCTTAACCCACTGAGCCACCCAGGTGCCCCTAAATTTTTGAAAATCTTAAAAAAAAAACATGGTCTTCAACCCAAGTGTCTGTTGACGAGTAAATGGATAACCAGACAAAGATCCGCACAGCAGACTATCATTCAGCCTTAAAAAGGAACTTCTGACTCGTGCTATACCAGATGAACCTTGAGGACATCATGTTAAGTGACATGAGCTAGACAGAAAAGGAAAAATACCATACGATTCCACTCATACGAGCTATGTAGAATAGATTCATGCGATAGAAAGGCAGGTGGTGGTTGTGGGGAGCCAGGGGAGAGGAGTAATGGGGAGTTCATATTTAATGGGGACATTAAATGGAAAATACCGGGAACGGATGGTGGTTGCCCCCCGATTTGAATGTATTAATGCCACTGAGCTGTGCACTTAAAAATGGTTCAGATGGTAAATTTTATGTTGTATATATTTGACCAAAATTAAAAAAAAAGAATTCATAGGGCTTATAGGACAGTCCCAGGATCTGTCTGCATGGAAACGGGTAGCAGAATGATGTTTCTACATCCCTTACAGTAGTGGGGCCGGCCGCTGACCTGTACGCACAGGAAACAAACCCATCCCCATCTCCTGCAAGGATTCTGCAATTCAGACTCCACACACCCGCCTGCTGGCCCAGGGCCTTTAGCCCCACTAAGAGTTGACTGAGAAATCTCCACTTCTTAGCCCTTTTCCCAGTCTGACTACTTTTTAGAGGCTTGTTTTCCTAAAGCCTATAATTATGTTTGCCTCCAGGGGACCCAGGAATTTTTTTTTTTTTTAAATAAGCAAAGAGCATCCTACAATTATCACGATGATTTGTTGAGGGCAGGCCAAGTACAGAGGGGAGGCTGACCCGACCGTGGAAGCCAGACCCACGTGCTGGCGTCTGCATCTCCGAGGCACCCATCAGCTCACTTGGGGGTTGGTCATTAACAGGAGGAGCTGGAGAATTGACAGACCCGCGTAGGGGTCCACTGCGCACCACCGACAGGGCAGGGCAAGGCGGCTGGCTGGGGTTCGGGCCTCCCTGAGGCTGGCTGCCGCCACCGGGAGCGGACCCCGGCTTTGCAGATGGTTCTAGGTAAATATTTCCAGCCGGGGTGACTACAGCATCCGGAGGCCATAACCCGGGGCTGCTCCAGCCACACGCAGCCCAGCCGAGATGGGCAGCAGCCTGCCGGCTCTGTCAGCCCTGATTTGCGGCTGCGCCTGTAATCTCCCCGAGTTCAAAGAGCGCTTAGCTGCTTGTCTTTGTCAAGTGCGCGGTTGGGGATCTTTTATGTGAACGATGTCGGATTCTCAGGCTGACTTTGATTATTTATTCATCCCCCTCTGTGGGTGTGTGATAGCCAGGGCACTACCGAGCCCCTTGTCCTGGCTACTTTTGCCCCTGAAATTCATGGAGCTTTAAAGCCCTTTGAAAATTGCCTTTTGAGGGAGGGGAAAAGTTTTTGAAGGCCTGTTTCTCTCTCCCACTCCACAGTGCCGCAGCACCTCTTGCCACCGCTCCATGCTCCCTTACCGATTGACATGAGACACCAGGAGGGAAGGTACCATTATGAGTCCCACTCTGCCCACGGCGTGCACGGGTAAGTTCTACCCTCACCCCCCGGCCCGGCATGTGGTCCTCTGCCTCCGGGGAGGCCGGTGGCCTCAGCCACCTGTCCTGTCTCTGTTCGTTTTTCTGGAGTTCCTAATCTGTACTGTTCTAAGCCGACAGTCACCTTTGCCACCAGGGGTGCATGGACCCAGGATGCTGGGTGACATGTACGTGGGACGTGAACACCCAGCTCCGTCTGGTTACCTGAGAAGGAAGCCCTCCTCGGCTCGCACACCCTCACTGCAAAGGCTGCGGGTTGTCCCGGTGTAGCCATAGTACCTTGGGGTTCTGTGTGTACTCAAGCAGTGGGAATTCCCTCCAGGCCAAAGGTCCTATATAAGCATGGTGACCTCAGGGGTATCTGGGTGGCCAGTCGATTAAGCATCTGCCTTCAGCTCAGGTCATGATCTCAGGGTCTTGGGATCAAGCCCCGCTTCAGGCTCCCTGCTCAGAGGAAACTCTGCTTCCCCCTCTCCCTCTGCCCCTCTCCCTGCTCATGCTCTCTTTCACTTGCTCAATCTCAAATAAATAAATAAAATTTTTTAAAACTATGGTGACCTTCGTTATACGTTATCACAGTATAATAATTCAGTGTCCTTCTTACATGGCCCAGTTTAGACCCTATACTTTAGAGTCACCGTGATGATAAGGACAAGCTCCATGTTACACTTTGGGGCCTCCTCCCACTCCCTGTTTTGAGGCCTCCAGGTAGAAGGACGTGTCCCAGTGCTGTCTCACTAAGCCTAATCCTGTCCCTCTTCATTCTCACCTAAGGCCCCAAGCCTATAGCTAATGTCACTTTTCTTGGTGTTTATGACTCCAAGACTGGGCCCCACACTATCCCATCCATTCCACTTCCAGAGAAGAGACTGAAACCTTTGCCCTACCCCCACATCTCTGCCACTCCCTACACTTGCTTGGAGAGAACCTACTGCAAAGGCCCAACTCATCCCAGGGTCCCTCTGGACCCAGCCATCTCATCTGTCCACACCAAGCTGCTGTTCAGGGTTCTAGAACACACAGCTCTACTGCACGTCTGTTCCTGCTGTTCCATGCCTCTGTTCCTGCTGCCCACCTTCCTGGAGTGCTCCTCTTGGGGCACCAGGATCCCCTACACCGAGTGGGGGCCCTTCTCTGGAATGATCTGCTTTCCCACCTACCCACTAGCAGGCTCTGAGCTTCCCGCTCCTTGCTGCCTTGCCAGTGGCTGACACGTACCAGGTCCATGATCATTGTTGCCTGAATGAGAGCACTCTCCACCCATTCTACCCATTGAAGACAAACCCTACTTCCTGCCTGTCCCAGCTTCTGCCTGAAGGAAGTCACTATACGCTTGCTGAGCACTCCCTAGGTTCAAAAAAGCACCTGGCCCAATGAGAAGGCCAGTGACTGAGGTCGCAGCCCTTGGCAACTCCCGTTTCTCGGCACCCCTTGCCGCCTCCCTGAGGTAGAGCAAATCAGAGACTTTTCTTTTTTAAAAAAGCATCTTTCACTTGGAAATAATTTCAGACATGAGAGAACAGTTGCAAAAATAGTACAGAGATTTCCAGGATTCCCCCCACCCCCCTCTGGGCTCCCCCAGGACTCACATCTACATGACCGAAGGCTGATATGGGGTCATTAACTGACTTGTAAATCTTATCTTATCCATGTTTCCTCAGCTGCCCCACTCATGTCTTCTTTTCTTCCTGTTGGGATGCGGCCTTGGCATTACGTGGTCAAACCTCCTTTATTCCGGGCTAGTGGCTTAGTTTCTCTTGTCCTTCATGACCTTGACCCTCTCGAGGAGGACAGGCCAGTACGAAATGTACAGGTGTCCTCGACTGGGGACACTTGCCTGAATTTGCCTCATGATGAAGTTCAGAGTGAGCATTTGGGGGACTAATACCATGAATGTGGGGCTTTGTCCTTCCTAGTGGGTCGTGTCAGGAGGCACATGATGACAAGGAGTCTCATCACTGCAGCTCGCTTGGATAAGGTGAGGTCTGCTGGGTTTCTCCCCTTTAAAGTTGGTCCCTTTGTCATTAATAAATATCTTGGGGGAGGGGCTGAGACTTTGATATGTAACTATCCTGAGTCTTATCAAATTTTCACCTACTAACTTTAACATCCATTGGACGGTTCTAGCCAGAAACTCTAATTACTAGTGTTCTCCAAGTGGTGATTTTCTGTTTCCATCATTCCTTCCACGTTTTTGGCCTGGAAGTCTCCTGTGAGGAATAGTTCCTTCTCCTCCCCACCCCCCACATCTTTTTTTCTTTGATTATTTACTTATGCCAAATAAATGCATAGGCAGACGTCTTATTCTGAGTTATACTCTGTTGTTGTCGCTCTGTGTGTGGTTGAAATGGTCCCAGATTTGGGCATTGGATGGCCCCTCAAGTTTTCTCTCGGGGCCTTTCAAATGTTGGAAACTTCTCGTTTCATGTTTGTGTGTGTTGTCGGGTCTCCCTTGATGAGGGCCTGCTGCTGGCACCCGTGCCCACTGGTAGGTGATGGGGTCCTTTCAGCCCCTGCCCGCTCCCCAGCTGCCCCTCCAGCTACCGGGCCTGGGACCACAGCTCCAGCAGCTGGCTTCGGTGAGCGTGTTTGGAACTAGCGGATCTACCCGAAAAGGGCTCAGCTTGTGGCATCTGACCATCAAAGGAGAATCAAGGAGCTGAGTCTATTTGGGAGGGCGGTGGAACTGCTGACTTCCTGGCCAGTGAGGGGTGGGGGACAGGTAGAGCACCGGGAGAAACAGAAAGCCTTCATGGCCGGCAGCACGGGAGGTCTGGGCAGGCTAGTGGGCCTGTGGAAATGGTGTTGTCACTCACTGGCCCAAATGACTCTTGAACTCGACTTGATGTCTGAAGGGGAGTGTTTCAGTCTCCTGTTGCTGCTGTAACAGATTACCCAGGGGCTTAAAACGATGCTGACTTACTCTTGGGCAGTTCTGGAGAGCAGAAGTCTGGAGTGAGTCAAGGTGTTGGTGGGGCTGGTTCCTTCTAGAGACTCCAGCACAGACTCTGCTTCCTTGACTTCCCTAGTTTCTGGAGGCCACCTGTGTGCCTCAGCCAGGGGCCCCTGTCTCTGGTCCTATCCCCGTCTTCCCCCTGCTTATGTCCTCACATCCTTCTTCTTCTTCTTCTGTAATGCTTTTCTCCCTCCATCTCTCTTCTAAAGGTCCCCGAGATGGCTTTGAGGGCCCACCTGGATAATCCAAGATAATCTTCCTGCCTCAATATCCTTAACTCCGTCACATCTGCAAAGTCCCTTTTTCCCTAGAAGGTTATGGTCACGGATTCCAGGGATTAGGACACAGAAGGCTCTGAGGCTTATTTGGGATCACCAAGCCCCACCCAATGGCCAGCGTGGCATCACCCAGTAGAATACAATAAAGGGTGTCCGCAGTGTGTGTAGGGCCTGGGTCGGGCTGGGCTCTGCTCCGGAGGCCGCTGTGCTATATTGAGCTTCAGGGAGTCGCTCGGACTTGCCGGGTGTCATCCCGCATGGCGGGCCTGCTGGCCTCCCCTCCCCCAGCTGGGGCCGGGCTCTCCTGGTTAACACCCAAGTGATGATGGGCAGCAGCACTCTGTTCCCGAGCCCCACGCCCGTGCCGCGGTGGGCTTCCAGGGGCTCCCTGACAGCCTCAGGACGATCGGTCCCCACTCGGCCACAGGGGAACAAGGCGAGGGCATCGGGACCCCTTTCCCCCTCCCCCACTGGTGTGGAAACAGGACGAGGCCTATAAGAAAACAACGGCCCCCGTGGCTCCGGCTTCTGTGATTAATGCGGTCGGAGCCCGGAGGAGTGCCGGATCCATCAAGCCCGCGCTGTATCCCACGCCTCCTCTGCGGCGCCAAATGTGTCTAATTACACAAACGTTGCACAGCAAATGAGCTGCGGTGTCATCTCTTGTCAGCCCCAGCCGGAGCCTCCGCCTACTGCTCTGTGCCCGGGCCGCTGCCCATTGGCTCTCGTGGTCCTCACAGCCCCGGGATTGGGCGCCTTGTGCACCTGGGCTCCCCATGCAGTGCTCCACCACAAACTGTTTGTCCTCCCCAACTCACCGGGGGGTGGGGGGTGGGGGGGGCTGCGGGAGTGCTCCGTCACCAGCCCTGCTCCACCAGCTGGCCTTGAACCCTGGCTCTGAACTTGAGTTTACCAACCCCAAATGAATAAACCTGTTTTTCCATCTGTAATAGGGTGTAATGATAGCACCTATCCCATCTACCAAGTTATTTTGAGGATTCCATGGGGTCCTGTAAGTAAAGCACTTGGGACCGTTTGGAAACATAGAGTAGATGTTAATAGTGATGAGTCTCATGGTCGCTGTTTGCATTTGCTTATGGGGGCGGGGGTCATTGGAAGCCCAGGCCCCTGGGGGCAGAGGCAGGCCACCGCATGACCTTCGAAGAGGATTCTCTCTGGTGGCTGTCACTTAAGAAGGTAGAAAATAGGACTGAAGGAATACCACTGGGGATGGAGAGAGGAGGGGTCTTTTTTCTCCCATTTGGAGAATTGGGACTTTATCTTCTAGGCAACCAGGAGCAAGAGGGAGTGGTCAGATTTATTTTCAGGGTACCCTTAGGACCAGTTAGGGGATGGATAGAAGGGGGGACCCACAGCAGAGGGACCTGCCAGAGCTGTCATCGTGTCCCTGGGTCCAGGTGACAGCCCTCCCCTCCCACAGGCAGCCACACAAGGAAGAGAAGGGCACAGGGTGGGGAGGGGGCAGTGTATGGAAACCCAGCCAGCATGCCGGGCTGGCTTCTTCACAAATGTGCCCACCCCATCCTGACAGCCACCTTTCCACATCTCCTAGAAGTGCAAACCACTACAGGATTTGTGTAGCTCACTAATGCCCAGGAGGTTCTAGAAGGGTAGATGGCACTGCCTGTGGACTCCTGAGGCAACATTTCTTATCCGTGTAAACCACATGTGATGGGGAGATAAATGGGTAGAGGGGTTGTTTGTTGTTGATCAGGCGCGGTTCTCTTGTGACCA